AATAAAGCAATAAATAAACAATAACTAATAAACTACTTTAATTACTCGTTTATTGTTGAAATAACTATCTTTTACACAATGACAATTGTCTCCAATCTTAACAATTTTAAATGTAACTAATTTCAATTTACTGGTAAAGTACAATACAAGTATGGCATTGATGTTGTCGACGACTAACGACAAAGGAACTACAAGACAAACTAAAATCCTTGAGTACATATTACATGTTTTTACAAGAAATACATTCACCACTTACCTACATAAAAATACATTAAATAGAAAAAATATTTTAATACAAGGATAGAAACAATTTTGAAAATCGTACAACGATTTGCGGAGAGATCGATCTCTCCGTAACAACAACATACATTCCCGTTTAACATGTAACTTCCTCCTTTACAATTTTGAAGTCTATAGAAATCCATGGGCATATATAGACTGTACTACCCATTAGTACAGTCCATGGCTAAATATAAGAAGGAACAAATTTAAATTGCAATATTTTTTAGAGTTGTTAAATATAGTAGGGATGACTGGGTAAAAAAAAGAAAAATATTAGATACGTATTTTTCTTTTACTTCAATTTAACAAGAAACAGATCAAATAAAAGGCATTAATTGAAGTTAAGGAGTAGGGGCTCGCTACGTCTCAGTCTTGTAGAAAATGTACCTAAACGTGACGTCATGTCGACACTTTAATTCAATGAATCGCGCTAATTTAATGATTACAAAAAAATACGTATTTAATTTGTTTCAACAATCTACTTGACGTACAAACAAAAATTAGTCTCATCTCTATTCAATAACATACCCAAATTTTAATTAGTATTACGGGTTATTATTCACATAAGGTTATCGTTAACAAGCATTGAAAATTCATATTATTTATCGAGTTTCTTTCTTTTACCCCACCCCTAAGTAAATAATAGATACTCCTATGTAAAACTCGCATAATTGTCTTCAGATTTCAAAGATAAACAAGTATTGACATAATCGAGCCCTTTATTTATATGCACACAACTTATATGTATATATAGTAATAGCATATTTTATTCATTTCACTTAAACAACCGACATCTCAGTATAGTAACCGCGAAGCCTGCATAGGGTACGAAATATCTAAAAATGTAAACCCTTGATAGATGCAGAGTTATTGAAAGATAAGCTGGAATAAGGCTTATAAAATCTTGGGAAAACTTTACTTAGTTGTGAAGTTTAGACTAAAAGCTTCTTGAAAGTCTGTTACCAACGTTTTAATGTACCTACATTAAAATAAATACGATTATATTTCTTATCGTCACTTTAATGGTCTCTTCAGGATACCTACCAAAAAGCCTGGACTATTTTAACATTTTTCTTCTTGATAATCTGTACTTTTTTTTCAAAAAATCAGAACCTGCGAAAATTTGAAAAAACAGAAAGAAGACTTACATCCATCTTCGTCAGCCTATTAATTTTCTCACTGTTGGGGTGTTAGTATGTTAAATATATGCGATATCTGCGTGTTATGCTTTATAGTGGCCCTCGTAATCTTTATTTTCAACTCAATTCTACTTAATCCAGTAAAAGTTTCTTTATATTACTAACACAATATAAAGTCCTGGTATTTTATGAAATATAAGCCTCAGTCGCACAAGTCGTTGGGGATTAATGACAACTTTAAGCTTTAATTTTTATCGGTAATGTTACTTTAAACTAATGACAATTTAGACAGACGTCTGTGCAATAGTGTAATTACTGTTGTTACCTATTATTACTGTTGTTATTATATGTGTCATCTCAAACAACAGCTAAAATAAATTAGTTTTAAAGGTGATACTTGAAAGTAAAAAAAAACTATTAGCTTCTATTATGTTGGCAGCCTTCCCCGTTTGAAGGGGCTTGCTTCGGTCGTTAACCCAAATGCTGACTCGATGCGGGCTAACTGACTGCGAGAATCGTTGGAAGGTTGTAAAACTATCTAACTCTATCATATTGACTTGTTGAAATAATTGTATAAGATGACCAACAAGCAAAATATATTTCTCATGAGTATTTTAGTTTCCTAATTATTATCATGGACTAGCTGATCCGACAGACATTGACCTGTCTTAATTATGAATATTGAATTCAAATAGTTTTTTTTTTTACATCCTATTTGACGACATTTATAGCACACACTCTGTCAATTCTATGTCAAATGTCATAAGGTAACATTAAAAAAGTTAATATATTATCCAAAGCACTAAGGTTATTAGAAATAAGTTTATATGGTGCTTAAAAATTCTTAAATTTAATTTTTTTCCACACGTTTCTTTTTTTTTCTTTCATAAGAACCTTCTCGTGACAATAACAAACACAACAAAAAAATAACTAGCGAAATCGGTCCGGAAAATAAGAAATAAAATGCTTTACACATCATCCGACTCATCTGACTAAAAAATAAAGCAGTACAGCTTCAAAACTTAAAAAAATGTTACACAATCCCCTTTTAAAAACCCCCAAATTAAGTTTGGTGATATTAAGTAGAGGTATTATTTACATACCTTTATGAGGACAATTGAAAAAAAAACCGGCCAAGTGCAAGTCGAACTCGCGCGGGAAGGGTTCCGTACTCACCACATCCATTAAAAAAAAATATTTTTCTAAAAAAAATATCATCCCCATTTTATATGTATAATATAATATATGGGGTACCCTAAAATTATTTTTTCAAACATTTACTTTACTTCTTAGTCAGCATAATTAACGTGTATACGTGTATACTGATGATAAATTACAACATTCTAGTACCAATAGTTTTAGAGCTAAACTGCGGTTGAACTGACAGACAGACATAGCGAAACTATGAGGTTTCTTTGTTTACTACGGAATACTAAAAATAGTGTATTACTGGAATTAATAAATGTGTAATTATTTTTCAATAAAGACAAATAAGTTCAGTTACAAAATCGTATGTTCAAGTTCAGTACTATTAAGTGAGGTACCACTATCAGATACAATAATTTCAAATTGGAAATAAAAATAAATTAAAATAGTAGTTCTGTACTTTAACAACATCAGCTATAAGTGCAACAAATAAATATTATATTATATTTATAATTATAATATGACTTATTATATAAATAAGTATATAAGATTTTCATATGCAAAAAAAATAAATATTCTAGAATAATTTCTTAAATAGGTGCTAAAGAAAGCTCTACATTAATCTTTTATCGACATCTTAATTCGTACACTATTCGTATAACTGTTTCGCATACTAAAATTACTAGATTCAATTTAAGACACTATTATGGCAAACCTCAGGAGGTATAGTGAAGTCTTAAAAAATGTATTACAACGCAACAAACAACGTGTCTTGATAGTTAACAGACTATGTCGTCATTATTACTGGCAGCAAAAAAAACATTCTAGCCGCATAGAGAAAGGTTAATTTCTGTTATTGAAATAGAATTTGGATTATCTTCATCTCATTTTAACAGTAGATTTTCATCAGAAATTGAAATCAATTCAAAGGTATGTGTAATTTTAACTATTTCTCTGAAGAATCATCGAATCTACCTAACATTTAAACTAGAACAGTTTAGGTCGTCGAAACGCACGTGTGCAAAACAAAAATAATTAAAACCATGACTGACATTCTAATTTAAAATAATAAAAGGAACAAGTTATCTGATGCCTTGGCTAAATAAAATTGTTATTGCAGACGAGGGACTCTTACAAGAAGTAATTATTTGAGAATTTGTTATAATTTAAGGAGATATTTTTACCATTTAAACAATGATTTGAATGAAGTAATAATTGTTAATAGTTATAATATATTATTATTAGAATTTAATAATTCTTATCTCATTAAAATTCTCATTTATTGGTTAAAATAGGTTATTACATTTTCTCAATTTCTCACTTCTGTTGACTTGATATTCGATGCCAGCGTTAGATTACAATATTCCATAGAGCAGTCTCCCGACTGCAATAAGAATTTTATTTAGCCTAGCTATTATACAACATGTTCCTTTTATTCCTTTCAATGACCAGTTCATTCATGTTAAGAATATATATGATATCCCATTAATTCATACTCATTATAATATTTTAAAGTGAAATAAAGAAACTCACATTACAAAGCTACATTATCTCTTAACAATAGACTTCTTATTTGTACAAAATTATGTCATAAAAAACATGAACACAACAATTTTAAGTACACGTAGGCAAATATTGCACTCGAAAATTTTCAGAAAATCCGCCTTATAAACACGCGCGAAACGCCGTTTTCATCTTTTCCGTCTACACTGACTCTGCCTTTCGTTTTTTTCCCAGTTAATTTGATTTGATTGAGCCGACAAGACTCAAAGGAAACGATTAACTTTTTATTCATTAAATTTCTCTATACATTTTCTATGCTTTTCTTTACAATTTTCGCCATCAGGTCAAATTGTGAAACGTGTCTCAAAAGGTAAACAGTTACGTAATCTCTATATGAAACGTTTGATTACAACGATTTTTACGTTAGTTGTTGTTAGAAATATATTATTTCGGACAACGAAACAAGTCATACATAATTACAGTGAAAGTAATCATATAGGGGTAAGTAAGTAGGTAAATGAGTAACGCTCTAATGGAAACTCATCGAAGCTGAAACTTGGTAACCATTTGTCATGACCTAAAGAAATCAAAATTAGGCTTTTAAAAGCGTGTAAATATGCGTTTCAAATATATCAAACAGTTTAATTTCAAACATATTAGGTATTTCAATTTCAAATAGCAATCGGAATGCAGTACCAAATAATAGCTTCAGATGGCGCACACTGCACTGCTATGCATCGCAACTGAGGAGGAGAGTGCGTCATCGATTTTGATTCTTGTTTTTTAAGCAAGATAACAATAGGTTGTTTCGCAACACAGCAAACTCTAACAATCATGGACACAATTCGCGAAAAGTAAATTTGATGTTGTACCGTCGGCGCCGCGAGGGCGGCGCTGGTGACGCCGGCAACGGCACCACCACAGCGTGAACAAACATTGACCAAGCACGCAGCCACGCACTGCGCTCCGACAACTTGCCGCAACATTCTTAGCGTAAAAGTTATCGTGGATGGTTTACTCTATGTAATTTGCGATGTTTGAGTTGATATTAACAAGTATTCCCTTCGAATAATATTGTGCGAACGACTCGTTTGAATCGAATCACGATAGTGTTAAATGCGATATGTGCTGCTGATGTTACAGCAACGATGCATCAAAGGAAAAAAATGGACATTGATTCATGCTGTATAATATTAGTGAGTATTATTTGTTTTCGTTTGTTTTGAATCTTACTTTCGTTTACTACGTACTGATATTTGATGACATTCTTAATAATAGAGCATTAAATTATCTTATTAATATCTATTAACAAAACTTTAAGAGTTATTTTAAATCTATCAAAAAGTTACCACATCAAACGCCATTTGTATTTACAATCATTTTTTAATTTGACAACGTTGCAAAAGCACACGCTTTAAATATTAATAGTCCATAATCTCATTATCTTGTAAGGTGTAAAGTTTTACATTCAATATACGAATAAGTAGTATCGAATATTATCCCAATAATAATGCTTTAAACGTTTGAAATATTCTGCAGACATACATCTTTTCAATCAATCATAAAAATAAATACTGATTAAAACATCTTACATGTTTGTCTAACATGAAAGATGGAAATGTAGGGAATGCTGTAAAGAGAGACCCGATAGTTACACTTGCCATTGTTACCTGCACGAATACCACATTATTGTACATAATCGCTGAAATGTTAGGAAATCAAACAATTTCATTCCAAATTATGACTGCAACATTGTATATTAAAATAATATGCGTACTATAATAGCTTTCGTAATGTTTTAAATAACTACGGACTATTTTACTCTAATGTGATAAACTTATTAACAAAAGTTGACGTCAAAGCACGGTCTTATGCTGCTAAGTTATGACCTTGAGTCGAGTTTCAACTCTCAACGGCTACCTTACGAAGTAACTGTTGGGCTCTTTGCTGTGTAACTAATTGGATTTTTTTTTACCAACAGATCCCAAGCGTAATCGTTTGTTATTATGTTGAGCAATACTGAGTGTTACATTGTACATAGGTAGGTACTGCGAGCGTAGCCAACTTGAGCGTAGCCAAGTTGTGGCGTAAAAATTTCAAATGGTCTAAATAAAACTATGAATCGCCATAACATTTATTTATATAAATCTACTTATCCAAGGAATAAAGTTACATCTGCGTAATCTCTATTTTTCAAGCTAGCAACTTGGTATTTTAATTACACAAATTTATCAGTTAATTAGGCGTGAATTTTTGTACAGTTTTATTTCTCTGCTAGTATTAAAACTACATTACTTAAAAAATTGGATTACAAAAGTTGAATATATAGGTATGTAAGTACGTCAATAAAACCTTAGAAAGAATAAGAAACTGATTTTACAGTTTAATCAGATATAGATTTATTCCTACGGATAGATCGAAATAGAAATCTAGAGTATATAATTCTACTAGATGTTTTTTCGTGATTTCGCCCGCCATCCATATGATATAGCATTCCAAAAGTAAAAGAATTTTTATGATAGGTTCAGTAGTTTCAGTGCAAAAACTAACCAACAAACAATCAAATCTTCCCTCTTTATAATGTTATGTACTAAAATGGAAATATAAAAAGCTTAATAAGGTATAGCCCTCTTATTCTCGAACGCAGTTGCGATCGACATTGTAATTGTGCCATTTCGTACTCTTGATTGGGTACACTAGCGCCAAAGAATGCCAGTGAACCAAATCAATTAGGAGGCCAATTCTACTAAATAAATTTTATTTCTATTCTACTAAGTGACATTCAATACAATTCCAGCTAAAATAGAACTGGAATTCTATCCTATGTCACTTTGTAGAATAGGAAAACCATTAAAAACTGTAGTTTCGTTCGGTTTCGATCCGTTTTTGATTCGATTTAAACAAAATTTATTTAGTAGAATTGGCCCCCAGAGTGCGGAGCAGCATAATTGCATTCAAGAGTAAGGGAACTGAATGTACAACTACAAAATATAGAAGATACTAGTATTATTCAAAACATTTCTAATTATTCAATTGTTTTTAATTAATTTTTATTGTTCTCTTTTGTCATCTAGATTGAAATAAACAATTAGACCTTTGGATGTTTTGATAAACAATCGCATCTTTCTATGATATTATTGTTTATGCTTTCAAGAAAGGTACACAAAGCCAAAATTTGTTTTTCAGTATTTTCAATATAGCATTGTGAATGCAAATATGATTAAATATAATAATTTTTGATAGATAGATAGATAATTAATTTATTCTAAATGCAACACACAACCACATTATACAGAGAATAAAAATAAATAAAGACATTATAGAAAAAATATTAACTACGAATAAGTCATGTAGTACCTGTGTGTAGCAGAGAGAAAGGGTCCTAGGCTCAGTGCATTGTAATCACCGAAATGTCGGTGAAGCACTGATATTTTTGTTGTTCTTCATTTAAATTATTTTTCAAGGAGTATGACAGGCTATTTACACAGGCGAAATCGCGGAAACACAGTTAGTAATTAATTTGATACCGTATAAGAAAAACTTTTAAAATCGTTTAAGACTATCTGTTGTCTTAATGCCAAGCTTTATGAAGTAAGACGGTTGATAATGATTACATTTCTATATTTTTTAATACTGGAAAATATGTAGAACCATTTAAAAAAAAACAAACAGATAACCTTGTTATTGTCTTTCATTCGCATTAATATTTACCTTGGTTGCTGAATATTAACATCATTATATGAAATACGTAAACATTCCGACATTCACAAAATGCACAATCACTAATTTATTCAATTGACTAGCCATTTTGTTTTACTCAATTTTACTGCATTGTTAAGTGGTTAAGTAACTAAATAGGTACTAAAGAACAAAGAATAAAAAATTTACATTATTTTTTTTGCTCTAATTGGCCACATAATCAAAAAATACAAGACGAGTTGTTATTCCCGCAACTTCCCCCGGCTAAATTAAAGTCTATCAGTCAGTTGCACAACCGTCCGTTAAAGTTCTCATTAGTTTAAAGTGACATTACCCTTACAAATTTGACATTAATTAGAGCTTAAAGGCGTCATTAAACCTTAATGGACTTTTGTGCAACTGGCTGTATGTCTCCCGTGTATGATGTAGCATAGGTGCAGTAATTTTGAAGCCTATTCAATGCAAATAAAAATATAGATAATGCTAGTATAGATAGCTAACCTTATTTGTGAAGGAAAAAAGGGTATCTATCCCAGATCTTATCTAACCCCTCGGATCTAGTACCACACCCATTGATTTATAAGACAGATTATGTTAGATATGTAAGTATTTAGTAGATTGGCGGAACTATTTTTAATGTGCAAATAAGAAAATAGTTTCTAAAGTATGTAACTTACGATATTCAATCTAATTATAAATCGCTGAAATTCACTTTTAAATTTTTTATCGGAATAATACTATTAATAGAGAAAAATAATATGTCAATAACTTTATAACCGACATCTAAACTTAACACTTTTATAATAATCGTAATAACTTGCGAGTGATTAGTTTTTAGCCAATTTCAATGCTACGCGTAATGGGATAGAAAGGGGCAGTCTGTTCTCTCTACGCCCAGCCTTAAACACTTTTCCAATCTAAAATTCAGAGATATTTTTTATGCATCAGGTATCATCATCATCATCAGTAATAAATCCCTACTAACATACATACAACGATATATAGTTAAATTTGTGTTTCTACTTCTAGATCACAGGGTAATTAGTATTATAGATCTTCTGTCTTCAACAAAAGATTTCAATTCCTAATTCGTGAGCGAAAATAATTGAAAAAACGTCATCATACCGTAATTTATTTCTACATTAACACTGTAGTCATAACCAAAGACAGTGTATGTTATTTTATAGCATTCTAATGTACTTACTTCCGTCTATTCGTAAATTAGATACCTACTGAAAGGTAAATGTTCCACCACGACCGAATACTTACTATTGTTGAAATAAAAAAATATATATAATTAGTAGAAAAGTATGTTTGGTCTATCTATATATAATAAAATCAACAAACATATATTGTATATAAATCCTGACTATAAATTCGATGCAAACCTGTCCGCTATGGAATATAATTTTGCAGAATGATTGCAGTCCATGCTTACTCATATACCGGTTTACAACTGAACTATAAACGACATCCGATACTGTAGAGAAAGCCATTTATAGAATGTACATAAAAATTTTGCGTGATATTTAGTGATAATTTCATAGTTAATAGATACTAGCTTTCGCCAGCGGCTTCCCGTCCCTAGGAAAATGTTTAGTAGGATAAAAAGTATCCTATTATTTAAGTCAGCTAATACCCTATCTGTATACCAAATTTCATCAAAATCCGTCCATTAGTATTGGCGTGATTGACCGACAAACATCCAAACAAAGAAACTTTCACATTTATAATATTAATAGGATTACCTAATTATGACATCATTTAAAACTTCCAGTATTTACCAGCATTATACTTAATTTAAAATTAATATATCCTACTTAAATAAGTATAATCAAAAAATTGGACAAAGCAATATTGCGTTAATTATTTCAGTCATTACCAGATATTGAAAAATAATTAATGTGTAAATTAATTAATAAAACATCTTGTAATACAAATACAGTTTCCAAAAATGTATCCGCCTCCAAGTATTCATTTATCATTCGCCAACAAAAAATTCGTCTCTAAACGCTTATTTTCTTTTTCCTCTTTCTTAATAACTATGCGTTTAAACTGAATTATGTCGAATGTTATCTTTGACGTAAAATACGTTAACTGAATGGATTATAGGCATGTTAACGTAGTATTACTACGTAATATAGTATCTGATAATAATATAGTTATGAAGATAGTATCTGTATGTCTGTTACCGGGAAAGTCTCACATATACCCTGGCATCTTTTCCCAGGTTTAAAAAAAGGTACTACATGTGGGTACCGAGAAAAAGCTGAAGACCAGCTACTATATATTGTTGAAAATTTGACTGCACAGAATTCTGATTTAGAGTAAAGAAATCTATCTCTTTGATAGGCATTGATAATAAGAGAGTAAAAAAAACATCACCAGAAAAACCCTTATTTCTTTCTAAAACCAGGCTCCTCGATACTAAATAGAAATACTATACGCTTGTGACACTTTGTCCCCATTAACATCACTTATGTAGTTAACAATAATG